GTCCTTAACTTCAAGTTTCATGTGCAAAAGTTAAGGACAATCAGTCCTTAACTTTAAATTGTAAGTGCATAGGTTAAGGAAATACAGTCCTTAACATATACTTTCAACATCCAAAGTTAAGGACACTTTGTCCTTAACTTCAAGTTTCATGTGCAAAAGTTAAGGACAATCAGTCCTTAACTTTGAATTCCAACTACAAAATTTAATGTCGTTTCTTCTTTACATTTAATGAACACAGTTAACTGAAAATTCATAATCAGTAAGCTTATGAATTTCTACGACTATTTTTATGAAATATACCTACATAATCAAATATATTGAATCAACCACAAACACATTTCAAATTTCACACACTAAAAATTTATCAAAAACAGAATCACACAAAATATACTACACTGAATCAACATATAATGCTAATTTTTGAAATTTCACACATACTTCACACGGCATTGAACCAACTTACAAATAAAGAAAACGAAAATGCATAAAAAAAAAATATATTACCAATCGCGATTGATAGAAGATGACGGAGAAGATGAAGGAGCAGAAGTTTAACTGAGATTGCAGTTTGCATACGAGGAAGATGAAGAAGCGCAGAACTCTGAACGGATGAAATAAGGGTTTTCGTCGATTTTGGGATTATACAAGAAATAGAGAAAAGGTAATTGCGTCTTTTCCCCCTTAATAGTGGCTATTTTTGATAAGCATTTTAAATAGTGGATAAAAATTAAATACACCTTTATTTAGTGACTACTACACGCCATTTTTACACAAGATCAGAGAGTTGAGGCCTACATGTCGATAGATTTTGGACACGTCTCAAGACGAGAAATTAATTGATATCGTGCTAAGGAGAGAAATTTGACTAGGTAGAGAAAACTAGTTGAAAAATGAAACGTTTTTTTATATACGTGTCATTTTCATGACTCAGCTGCATCTTGTTTCCACACGAAAAAAATAGCAGCAAACCCTAACCTTCTTCGCCCTCACTGCAATTCCAAAACCATTCTCCGCCTCATCAGTTTGAACTTGAGATTTATTAGATAGACAAATCAGATTAACAAATGCAAACAAACAAAATGCAGATATATACTTACACGTATACACACATGTATCATACGTTTCGGGTCAATCCTTCACGAGTTCCTTCCACAGATTACAAAAATACAGTACACTACACACTGAGTAAGAGTTGTTTTGGCTCGCCTCCTATAAATGCCATTGTCTCTCTGTGTAACGGTTGCACATCTGGGATTGTCAGCGAAGTCGATGGCGATTCCCCCGAGAAATGCAGGCGAAGGTTTTATCCTCTGCTGATTAATTCTTCCTAGTCATCTTCTTGTAAGAAATCTCAGACGTTTTGGCCCAAAGACGGTGTGTGGGAATCAGTTTGGTTGAGATGGCTGATCCTGATTCGTCAGCATCGGGTGAGCCATCTAACGCGCCTGTGCCGGTGGTTGGAGCAATTTCTATATCTGGAAGGCAGCGTTCAATGGAAGATGCGATTTCAGTTAGACCTAATCTTTGCTCGCCCAATCTCAGTCGCGGCCGACCCATTGATTTCTTTGCTGTTTACGATGGACATGGTGGACCTCATGTAATTCTCCACCTTTTTTATCATTCACTTTTCTTCTTTGACCATTTTGACTTCACTTGATAATTTTCAAACTCCAATTGACAGATTTCAGTACTAAACCTAGATTAATTATTTAAACTAGTACAATACATTTTTTTTTAACAAATTCATAAACGTTCAAGTTTAACCCTTGATAACCTAAAAGTAATAGATCTTTCTAATAATTGTTTGGCCTCTTAAAAATATACTTCTTCTATGGAATATACGGTATTAACAATCCGCGTAAAGTAAGTTAAAATAAGGAAAGGTGAAAAAAAAATACAAAGAAATGAGCATCCCAGCATTAAAGAACTGGAGCGAATAGGGAATATTAATTTTTTAAGTAGAAGTAAATTGAAAGATTGTTATTTTGGTGATGCAGGCAGCTGTGCTGTGTAGAGATAGGATGTACTTGGTACTACAAGAAGAGCTAATGCTGGTGCGAACAACCGTAGACATGAGCAGCAGCGGCAGCTCTCGCCGGGGAAGACGAGAACGATTGGAAAGGCAGAGGGTTACGGAGGCATGGAAAAGAGTGCTGCGGCGATGTTTCCATAGGATAGACGAGATGGCTTCATTCACTTGCTGCGAGTGTGGTACAGGTACCCCATGCGGCTGCCCACCCAACACCTTGGGAATGGCGGGCTCCACCGCTGTGATGGCAGTCGTGACGGAGGAAACTATAATAGTAGCCAACTGTGGTGACTCACGCGCCGTCCTTAGCCGTGGTGGAAGGGCCATCCCTCTTTCTTTTGATCATAAGGTATAATATTACGTCTCATTTCATAGGACAGAATTTTAGTTGGAGAATTTTAATAAGTTTCAGCTTGCACATGATAGGAACGAAATTATTCTGAACCTAAAATGTCAGCATCAGAGCCACAGACTGTCAAACTAGGAAAAAAGAGGTAAAAAGGACTTCTAAGTCTTGTGAGAACACATTTTTTTGGTTAACAAAAAAAGTGTAATTAAAGAAGTTCGGGTCAAATTAAGAATAACAAAAGTTATGGGTATTATTAAAATTTTCAAAAACCATACTCACTCAAATTATTTCAAATTTTCATTTCCCTCTTCTTTCTTCTTCCTTACTTTCTTCTTTCTCTTTAATTTTGTTGGTGTTCATGGTTTGGTTTGGATCGGTTTTTACCTAAAAAGAAACCAAACCAAGTAAGTCAGTTTTCCAAATATTAGAACCAAACCAAATTAAGTCGGTTTTTCCTCGATTCGGTTTATGTCGGATTTTGTCGTTTTTTTCGGTTTTTTCGGTTATTTGTCGGTTTTTTCTTAAATATAAGACATACACTACCAAACACATATTCCGGTAACCACATTTTCAACGTAACACTATCAAATCAATTGCCCTTTGAGAAATCTATTATTTACCAAGATATATTGATGATAATTTAATCAAATAGTGATGAATAATTTAAGGACTCAATTAAAAATATATTATTTTTAACACGAAATGGATTTTTACACTTAACAAAAGAAATCTACCAATCAAACTAGAATGTAAAGGTAAAGAACTATACTAAAAGTGCAAACTATTAACATTTACCATAAATTTTTTGAAACTTTGTATAAAAATTATACATATATATAAGTGTAATAATAAATTTGAAATAGCTAATCCTATAGTCGGTTTGGTTCGGTTTTTTTCTGAATAAAACCAAAACCAAACCAAACCAAAAAGTATCGGTTTTTTTGGTCGGTTTGGTTTGGTTTTCGGTTTGGCTCGATTTTTCGGGTTTTTATGAACACCCCTAGCTGCAGGTAGTTAGGTAGTTCAGGTATGTCATCTTCTTCTTCTTCTTCATTTTCTACTTGGTCTTTTTCTTCTTTCCCTCTTCATCTCATAATTTTATCTTCTTCTTCTTTTTCATTTTATCTTTGGTTTAAAATATACAAAAAAAAAAGAAGAGAAAAATATGAAATTTTGCAAAGTGAGTATTTTGACAAAATACCCTCTAGAAATTTTAAGACATCCCCATAAATGAGTATTTTGTTGAAACATCCGGGGATGTTCGAAACATCTCCCCGTAACATATCCCGGGTTGTTTGAAACATCCATCGGGATGTTTGAAACATCTCCCGGGATATTTGAAACATCTCCCGGGTTGTTTGAACATCCATCAGGATGTTTGAAACAACCCCGCGACTTTTGAAACATCTCTCGTGATTTTTGAAATATCCATCGGGATAAATGAAACACCTCCCGTGAAGTTTGAATCATCCCCGGGATGTTTGAAACGTACATCGGGGTGGAGTAGGAGGGGATGTTTTTGTAAGTAAAAAACTTTGGGGTTTTTAAAAATTATGTCATTAACTCTAATAACAAAAGTGTCCCTTCTACCCCATTCTTAATACTTTTGTCTTAAAAATATATATAAGTTTTGAAGTGTCTTAAAAATTTAAATCCCCCGTCAAACTACATGAAACTTTAATTTTATACGCTTTTAAATTGTACTTCATTGAAGTTTCCAATTAAGAATTTATTAAATATTCTCTAAAATGTTTTTTATAATAATATAAACGAGAAAGAAGCTCCCTTGATTTAAACATAATGGGCTGAACCCTTCAAGATGTTTCCTACTGAACTTATTTTACCATTAAAATTATGAGTCCACAATATTTATTGAGATTTTAGTAACATACATATCTATCTTCTGGGTAAAAATTTATGGGCGCCTTCCGGCTCATAATATCACATTTGAGTCGTGATTTTCTTTACATGGCACTTTATTTACAACTTCCCCCCTTGGTATTACCATATATACGTTAATTGAGTTTACTTCCACTTATTGAGGTTACTGCTAATGCATCTAAAAATGAATTTCTGTCACACTTAACCCATTAGGTTAATACCCATCTTGTATTCATTCAAATTAAAGAGAATACGATTATAAGTAGACTGCTACACTATATTTTGTTAATATTCTTCTCTTCAGTTAACATCTCATTTCTTCCTTCTTTCCACTTTTTGGACATAGCAAACAACTAGTATTATTTTCACTCCTTTCATCTATATGGTGGCTCACCTTTTTTTATGTGCGTTGAGAAAACTATGATTTTACTGCACTCTCATAAGAATGAAATAGAAACACTCTTTTACTGTCCTTTCTTCCTTTTGCAGACTTCTTTCTCCCTGAATAACGCTCATATATCACATTTTATTAATGCACACACATAGGATACAGTTGTTCAAAACTTAAGCTTACAACTCATATTCATGGTCCTCTTAAGTTCTCATAAATCAAGCCAATTATTTTTAGCTTCAGTATTAGTCTGTTAGACATAGAGAACATTTTATAATACCATGTATAAAATGATTATCCTCATTAAAACTAACTTGACTTTCTGTTGCAGCCAGACAGACAAAACGAGCGTGCTAGAATAGAGTCATGTGGAGGCCGAGTTCTTTTTGCAGATTGTCCACGAGTTCAAGGAATTCTCGCCATGTCTAGGGCAATAGGTAACTTGTTTTTCCATTCGCAGTAACCTGTTTCTCTATGTAATGACATTAGTGCAGTTGTCAATTTCCATACAATCAGTCTAAGGAAATTGGCGTAAAAACTGTAGCTTTATTTTTCCCCCCTTAAATTTCAAGGGTTGGAATGCAGATTGCCTCTAGTATTGGCAGGCAGTATTCCTTCTTCAGATAGCAATATTTACTCCTCAATAGGAACAACCGCAACCCTATGATGAGTAGCAGTTGAGCTAAGAAAAGCCTTAACTGGTTTCTAACCTACAATTAAGGGCACTTATCTTGTGTCAGGCCTCAAAAAAAAAAAAATATTTGAGACAAAAGAACACTGATTATCAATTAATGGTTGTGCATATTGGGACTAAACCACTATTATGGAAGTTAAAAGTGTCATCTCACCTAGCTTCTTGCGAAAGAAATGGATTAGTTCTAGTAAAAAGAGGATGTCCAGATTAAATGAATTCCTAGGCAATGTAACCATCATCCATTTTAGGGTCTGTGTCTTTTCTATGGTATGAAATAGAGACCGATCAAGGTTTATAGCACCTTCCATACTTAGGGTTTTACGTTGGAATGTGCATGGTGTGCATGTAGGCAGAATGCTGTTTGTCCGCTTATTAAATACCGCTTATAAGACGACAAAGCAGAAACAAAATTCAGTAAGTTTGGTTGGACATCTTTTGAGTTGCCATTTATGCATCAAGTTGATCAGCCGTTTTCCAGTAAGGTTAGTGATGGTTCAGGAAGATAATTTATGTTGCCATAAATGGATGTATACCTCTTTCTTTGACCCTCGTCAATGCTGTATCTTTGATTGGACAGTTTTACTAGAGGGGTATAATAGTGATATAACCTAATCCTTTAGACTACTCTCCATAGCATTATCTCCTTGTTAGGATGTTGTAATATGTAAAACTCCACCAATAATAGCAGGGGAAGTTGTAAAGAAACAAAGTCATCTTCAACAACTAAAAAACTGATTTTGCTGTAAATTTTATTGCTAATGTTGTTTTCATATGCTAAGGTTTGTCATTCTTTCCACCCACGGACTTTTTCCCAAAGAGGTATGCTGATTATTTGACGCTTCCTTTCTCTGTTCTTTTCTTTTATTTCTTAACTGTTTACTAACAATATTTGCATAAAACTTGTACAGAGGTGTAGTTGTTGAATGCTATGAGCCTGTAATGCTAATCGAGTCCAGCTTTTTGTACTACCCTAACAGTACTATCTTAGTATTGTATATCAATAAAAACTTACCTTATCAAAAAAAAAGTGCAGTTTTTGTCATTTGATAGTGGAACAGGACCTATAATCATTAATTAAATTGCATCTGGTAGGGGATACTATAATTGGAATGCTCTAAGTCTAAATAGTAACATGCATCTTCGGTATTGCACAAACCATTTTTCCTTTCATTAACTTTTTTATTAGTCTCATAGACATAAGAGTTGGAGAATGCAAAATGACCAGATCTACATGAGAAGTTGCAGTCCATTATTTCTTCCGGATTTTTCCTGTAATGTGGATCTGTATCCTTACCCCTCTGGAAGTATATCAGATTGATGAGCTTATCTGAAATGTTTGGATTTTTTCTGATTGGCTTTGTTACTGTTATCTGGCATTGTTACACATTTACGCTCCCAGTATAGCTCTCTAAATATGTTACTCTCTCTCTCTCTCTCTCACACACACACACACATCGTTTGGAGTAGTTCATTTTTCTGATTGTATGGTTTATCTACTAGTTCATTATTGACATACTACTACTTGTCAGGATAGAGATTTAATTAAAAAAGGAGTATTGAATATTCCTTGTTTTATTTCTCATTGCAAACAGGAGACAAGTATCTAAAGCCATATGTGACATCCGAGCCTGAGATTACCTTCACAAAAAGGGAAGCAGAGGATGAGTGCCTGATTCTTGCCAGTGATGGATTGTGGGACGTCATATCAACTGAAATGGCGTGTGAGGTGGCTAGAGAGTGTCTTCGAGAAGAAAATCCAACTGGAAACCATAGTTTCAGGCCTTGGGTCGAAGGTGATGGTGAAGGAGCAATATTTTCTTCCCAAAGTGCATCAGCAGCAGCGCTGCTTACTCGGCTTGCTCTGGGCCGTAATAGTTATGATAACATCAGTGTAATTGTGGTTGATTTGAAGAGAAATTATGCTGGACGATAGTTTCAGCACAAGGTAACTTCTTGAATTGAACTTATTGGATAGTATATCCAACCAAGGGGAACATTTAGAGATGGTTTATTAACCTTTTTTTTTTAAGACAATGATCAGTGCTTAAATTAATGACTTCTATTTGGTTCTTCTCTTCTTTTTCCATTATCAAGTGGTCTTCTAGATGATGAATGATGCGAACTCCATGTTTTCATTGCCATTGGGATTGGGTTTCCCAAATTAACACTCTACACCAGCTTTGATCCCGGTAGCACCTATGTGACTTGCAGATAGAATATATACTGGCATTTTTCCTTTATAATTCGTAGATGTAGAATTAACCCTTAGACATCAGGATCTTAGTGACAATCTATTGAACATTAAGGGGTGTGATGTAGACAGTCTACCCTAACGTAAGCGTTAGTTGTCACGACTCGAACCCGTGACCTATAGGTCACACAGAGACAACTTTATTGTTGCTCCAAAGTTCCCTTCATATAGTTTCATGTGTGAGAATCTTATTAAAATTACTTCAGTTTCCGCTGATTTTGTATTGTTGCATATGGAAAAGTACCTCGCGGGCACCAAGCTTGCACGGAATTTTGGATTTGGAATGCAGTAAAAGGCTAACCCAAAAATTGGTTGAATTTTCATTACTTCAGTATCCAAAATCCAAAGCCGTGCTTACTATAAGAATAAGGTTTCTTGAGGAATGGCAACCCATAATTTCTTTGATGATACTGTATGAAAAAATGCACGATCTGAAAATTACATGAAGATATCAATCTTTCATGAGAACAGTCAGAAATTGAACATAATTTCTCATTGTTAGATTAAAGAGGAAATATAACGGGACTAAACTTGATTGATAGTAGGAGTGGCAAACGGGCGGGTCGGGGGTTGGATATGGTTCGGGTTGAAAACGGGTAACGAAAATACGGATAAATTATTCGATCCCACCCATATTTAATACGGATAAAAAACAGGTTAACCGACGGATAATATGGTTTGATCACTTTTGGGAGAATTCCTAGTCTCCCAAACTTGAAGAATCCAATTTGAGGCTTTACAAATGTAAAAGTAAAACCCATTAGTTATCCATTGGTTATTCATTTTCTAAATGGATAATATAGTTCTTATCCATAGTTGATCCATTTTAAAAAAATTATCCAACTTATTTTTTAGTGGATAATATGAGTGATTAATTATTTTCTTTTAACCATTTTGCTACCCCTAATTAATAGTAACGAGACATTTTTAATTGTTAGGAGTATCGGTTAAGCTTATTAACATCATTTATCAGACAATTACTGCTACAGTAGTCGAATGGTGGCGCATTATCCAAACCTCCAAATACTAAGTACATCCAAATTTTGAACTTTGAGGTACATATATGGCGTAATCCCTCCATTCAACTGCGCTTTACGTAACTGTTTACTAACTGAGAAATGTAAAACTGTATAGGAATACGATAAACATATATCCTTATCAAATCCTGGTTACTGACTATGAATATCCCATTTTGATTAAATTTAATTTGGATTTGGTCCATGCTGCTAAATATTTGGAACGAAGGGGTATCCAATGAATGCTTCTAATGGTTAATAAGTCAAAGTACCGAGCTGCTCCGAATTTCATGTCTTAATCGAATCTGATTATAGTAGGATCCTTTTTTCTAATAAGCCGCCTTGAAGTAGGATCTAAATTATACTACTGTTTTGCAAATATTTTTTAAATATTTTGAATTTATTATAATATAGAATGTGTCCTGCATGTGACAGAGCCAGTTAGTCAGTTAGGTTGTTCTGATTGTTGAATCTGTTAATGTAAATTAAAGATAGATTAGTCATTTTGTATTCATTAGTTTTTCATTCTTCTTTTGTTCTGGTATATAACGATGGACAATAGAACAATGGCTTGTTTATTCCTCTCAATTCACCGACTCTCTCCAAATCCTTCTAGAACAATCCTCTATTGAAGCCCTTGGTTGTTCCTTGCATTTTAGCATGGTATCAGAGCTGCGAGCCTGAATCGCACCGTGCTAGATCTCTGATTCCTCTTCTTGCATTTCTGTCCTTGATTAATCGAAATTTGTTGAACCTTGTCAAATTTTGTCAATGTCGGAGACTGATTCATCAATGTCGGAGATGGCGACAATTGACCATAATCATCCGCTATATATTGGACTTCTGATACTCCTAGCTCAGTCGTGGTGCCTGTAAAGCTCACGGGCTCGAAGAATTATGGGCTATGGAGTAGGTCGATGAGAATTACACTTTTACGGAAGAAGAAATTAGGTTTTGTTAGTGGCACTTGTAGCAGGAATGTGTATGAAAGAGAACTGTTAGAACAGTGGGAGACTTGCAATGTCATTGTTCTCTCATGGATTATGAACAATGTGGCACCAGAACTTTTAGGTGGAGTCGTGTATACGTTTGATGCACACCTCGTGTGTGAAGATTTGTGAGAAAGGTTCAATAAGGTAAATCATGTTAGGATATTACATCGTGAAATTACCACATTATCTCAAGGAACTAGTTCTATTTCAGTGTATTTTTCAAAATTAAAGGAGTTATGGCATGAATATGATGTTTTGGTTCCATTTCCTATTGCTATGAGAAATCGAAAGATCGTGCAGAGAATCTGCATCAACAAAGAGTTATGCAATTCTTGTCTGGTTTGAATGAGTCATATGATCAAGCTAGAAGACAAATTTGGTTTGAACCTAAGATATTTGAAAAATACTCCAGGACAAGGAATTTTGATGAGGTCTGATTATGCAGAGACACTTACTTGTTGGTGTGACTTTAACTGGGCTGCATATCTAAATACAAGGAGATCAGTCACTGGTTATGTCATCAAGTTTGGAGGTTCAATGATCTCTTGGAAGTCGAAGAAATAATAGACTGTTTCAAGGAGTTCAGTAGAGGTAGAGTACAGAAGTGTGGCAACCAGCATTGCTGAAGTAACCTGGTTACTTGGTTTATTCAAGGAGTTGCGTGTGAGTATAGCTCAACCACTTACAGTTTTCAATGATAGCAAATCAGCTATTCAACTTGCAGCAAATCCTGTACTTCACAAGAGAACTAAGCATATAGAGATCGATTGCCATTTCATTCGGGACAAAATCAAGGAAAGAACAGTCAAAGCAGTGCATGTCAACACTAAGGAGGAACAAGCATATTTACTTACTAAAGGCTTTAGGGACTGCTCAGCAAGTTCACCTACTTGGCAAGCTTGGAGTGTTCAACGTGTTGCACCCTCCAGCTTGAGGGGGCATACTATAATATAACATGTTCCATGCATATGACAGAGTCATTTAGCCAGTTAGGTTGTTAGAATTATTTGAATCTGTTAATGTAAGTTAAGGGTAGATTAGTCATTTTGTATTCATTAGTTTTTCTTCTTCTTCTTTTGTTCCTGTATATAACGATGCAAAAGGCAATAGTATAGTGGCTTGTTCATTCCTCTCAATTCACTGACTCTCTCCAGATCCTTTTATAACAATCTTCCATTGAAGCTCTTGGTTGTTCCTTGCATTTTAGCAGAATTATTACTCTGTATGAATCTTTAATCATCAATTCTTGCATGAATATGGGTTGTGCTCGACATGTGGATTTACCTTAGCCCAAAGAGTATTACGTGACACCGCTTTGTCGTTTTTTTTTATTTATTAAATATGTATATGTAATAAAATGTAAAACCAAAAATGAATAAAAATAATGTAAGGTAACACCACTTGACATTGAAGTTTTGTAGCTCATCTAGTCAAGCCAGTTGGTTTTTGATAGAAGTCCGGGGTTCAAAACTCAAGCAGCTTCACTTTATGTCAAAAATTTTATGCCTCATCTACAAATAAAAAATGTGTTCATGGGGTTTGACCTATTGTCCTCTAAGGCATTGAAAGAGTTTTTTTTTTTTTTTT